AACCCTGATGGCTGGGGTATGCATTTGATAAAATGTCGTTTTCTCTGTGTATATATATATATGTAATCAAATTATACCGAGCCATGCTGATGCAGCCGTATATTTTCAATACTAGAAAAGACCTGGTTAACCAACTAAGCACATTCAATGTAACACAATCTACAAGGACACGCATTCGGCATCTGCATAAGTCACCGACAAGCGGTCCCAGGTCTCCTACGGGATTCTACCACTCCCTCTGGTCCTTTTTAATTTGTATATAAGTTTTGTCCGAAGTCAAAGTATCTCTACTTTGACCAAACTTATAGAAAAAATATCAACATTCACAATGTCAAATTAACATTTTTAGATTCATTATGAAATGTAGTTTCATAGTACGTATGTCTGGTATTGGTGATGTTGATGGTTTTTAATATAAATTTGGTCAAACTTTGAGAAGTTTGACTTGACAGAAATCTAATATGCGAAGTAAAAAGGGGCCGGAGGGAGTACATCTTACGGTTATTTTTCTTCCCTATAATATAATCCTAACAAAAAAATCCTGGTTAACGGTTAAGCGCATTCAGCGTACACACCGGAGCCTACAAAGATACGCAACTGAGCGTCTGCACAAGTCACCGACAGGCGGGCCCTCCCGAAAGTCCCCGTATTATATTCACGACGAGACGGTGTCTCCTACGGGATCCATTCGCACATGACCGGCGGCTCCCATCAAACCACCAACTGCTCCCCCTCCATCTTCATCTTCAGAAACAAAAAGAAGAGAAAAATAATATATTCAGGAAAAGATCAAAGAGGAAGCGAGAGAGAGATAGAGACGGATATATTGCTAATAAATCACTGTAATTAATTTCGTCCCCGAAAAAGATGCACAGTACGTACGCAGGCATTGATTACTCCCAGTCTTGTCCTGTGATGAAGCGCTTGGACTGCGTCCACCTCCAAAACGCGCAGCCGCCTTTTCCACGCGCCCACCGGCTCTGAATTCCTCCTCCCTCTCCCAAACCAAACCCGCGCGGCGAAAGCAACGGCCGGAGCACGGGAAGGAAGGAAGGAAGGAGGGAAGGAGGAGACCTCTCTCTCGCTCGCTCGCGCGCGTCGTCGTCGTCGTCTCCGCCGATCCTCCCCGTGCCTCGAAGCGCGCGCGGGGGCAGGCAGGCCGGAAGCTTCGCGCGCAAGGCGCTGAGGTACGACGCACGCCTCCCGCCCGGCTTTTTGGACAGATCGCCTTTATTCCGGGCGGCCCGATCACCGAATTCCGACGCGGGGCCGCCTTCATGGCCCCGGAATTCCGGCGCGGGGGCGCTTCCGACCCCCTGGCGCGTGACGCGCCTTGACGCGTCCGTACGTGGCGCCGCGAGAATTTTGGGTGCGGGATTGATTCCTGACGCGTGTTGCTTTGCTGCTCCGTGGCAGGAGGAGGAGGAGGAGCGGGAGGAGCCTGGAGAGCGCGCGCCGACGCGGTCGCCGCTCCGCGCCTGCACCGGGGGTCGGTTCGCGCGGCATGGTCTTGGCCCCCGCGCGAACGCACGGGAATGGCGGATAGGGCGAAGGTCGTGGCCGTCGTGGTCGCCGCGGGCGTGGGCGCGGCGGTGCTCGCGGCGGCGTGCGTGTTCCTCGCCATATGGATGTACCGGCGGCGGGCCAGCGTGGTGGCGCGGACGCGGACGCGGTCGCTCGAGTCCTCCACGGCCACGCTGCGGGCCAACGGCTCCACCGCCAGCCTCGACTCCAGCGTCTCCGTCTCCGTCGTCTCCGAGAGCGTCGCCGACTGGGGCCACAACCCGCTGCCGCCGGGGAAGCGCGTCGCCTTCTGGGGCTGGCGGGGCGCCAACAACGGCAGGGACCAGCCCCTCTCCATCTCCGGGATCCCCAAGTACCACTACAAGTATGTTTGGCAACTACAGCCCCATTGCAATCCTCGTGCTGTTTTCATTTCATAGCTGTGATTTATTTCAGAAGCTATCAGCCCATATGAAACTCATACCATGATCATAATTGTGAATGCTGGTGTAGTGGTCTTGGTGTGAGTGACCAAAAGAAATAAAAGTAGAGTAACATTTTCTGATCGCTCCATGTTACTGCTGCTGGTTGTTCAGGGATCTGCAGAAGGCTACCAACAACTTCACCACGATTCTGGGGCAAGGATCGTTTGGTCCTGTGTACAAGGCTGTAATGGCTACCGGTGAAGTCGTGGCTGTAAAGGTTCTCGCGAGCGATTCTACGCAAGGGGAAAGAGAGTTCCAGACAGAGGTAAGGTGACTTTTCTGCTCAGTTCCGGCGACCACTTGATTTGGGGATCCATAGATCATGTATCATAGCCAGCTGGGTTTCGCTCCAACTGTCTGCAGCCCAAAACTGAGGCAAGCTAACAAAGAATTGGCTTCCAGTTGGTTTGGCACCAAGAATTGGCATATCTTAATTTTGGTTGTGCAAACTTATTGGCTGTCTCTTTTTGGCAGTAGATAGTCAGCATATAATTATGTTCTTGAGTGATGACACATGGTGCGGGTGAAGGCAGTGCAACTGGCAATATCTTTAGTCCATGTTGAGTAGTAGTTGGTAGTGAAGCATTTGACTCTGATAAACCAAGATATAATCATGATCACGTCTTCTTTTGCAGGTAATCTTGCTTAGTCGGCTGCATCATAGAAATCTTGTTAATTTGGTTGGATATTGCGTGGAAAAAGGCCAACACATTCTGATGTATGAGTACATGAGCAACGGGAATTTGGCAACTCTTCTGTATGGTAAGGGAGACAATTTCTCTACTTTTCGGTGATGAAACATGAAAAGGAAAAAAAAACATCCATGCATAGTAATTCTGCACTGAGCATGTAGCATGACATGCATTGGGAAGGGGAATAAACTAACTGTTGATATGAATCAAGAAATCTCTCTCTCTAATTATTTTCATACCACATCCTGTTAGGCGATAATAAACGGAGTTTGAGCTGGCAAGAGAGGCTACAAATAGCTCACGACGTCTCTCATGGGATTGAGTACCTGCATGAAGGGGTACAGTTGATGGTTATTAAACACGTACCTCCATTGTTAATGACCTGGTCTTGCAATTGATCAAAGCTACGACTATGTGTGCAGGCTGTCCCGCCTGTTATTCACCGAGACCTAAAGTCTGCTAATATACTCTTGGACGAATCAATGAGGGCCAAGGTTAGGCAATTTATGATGGAGTATTTATGCTGATCATTGCAAATGCCTTTTGTTCTTTATGTGTACTTCTAGGTGTTATTATGCTGCCACCTTAGCTAAACCAGTACTACTGTGTCATGATGAGTCTGCAGTTCAGTGATCAACTGAACCTGCTAATGCCGATGGTTTAGCTAAACCAGTATTGTCTCTATCACGAGTTCATTAGTAATAAACTAACCTGCTCCTGCTGGATGCCAGTTGTTTAGCTGAACCAATACTCTCTCACGACGATGTGTCTGCAGTTCAGTGATCAACTGAACCTGCTAAAGATATTTCTGATGGAAGACGCATGCAACTAAAATAAAGATATCAGTTCCATGGTAGAAAATTGTTTGCTTGAAAATAACCATGCTAATGTGCTCTGTTTGTTTTACTTGCTGCGTGCAGGTTGCAGACTTTGGTCTATCAAAGGAGGAAGTATTTGATGGAAGTAAGTCAGGTCTCAAGGGCACCTATGGATATATGGACCCTGATTACATGTCCACCAACAAATTCACAAAGAAGAGTGATGTTTACAGTTTCGGCATAATACTTTTTGAACTCATAACAGCCATAAATCCACAACAAGGCTTAATGGAGTACATTGACCTAGTAAGTGATTTCAGGCATTCTTACAGTATTTTCTGACAAGATTTCAGTAGGGAGAAATTTACCTTGTAGTACCAGTCAGTGAGCATTACGCACCTCTCCTTTTAGGCAGCCATTGGAGGGGAAGGAAAGGTGGATTGGGATGAGATACTTGACAAGAACCTCCTTGGCGGGAGCATTCCAGAAGAGGCAAGGGTCCTTGCCGATGTTGCCTACCGGTGCATCAACAGGAGCCCAAGGAAGCGGCCATGGATATCAGAGGTCACCCAGGCCATTTCAAGGCTAAGGCAGCGGCAGATGACTTTGCCGAGGAGCGAGACCAGGACCGTGCTAAGGAGGATAGAGTACCAGCACGTGGAGCTCAGCGATCTCGCCGGCATGAAAGAACTCACGCCGGTAGGAGCCTGAAGTCCCTCCTTCCTATTTGATGAAAACATCAGTTAGTTTTGGCCTTTGAAGGTGTCTAACTTGGGTTGGAATAGATGTAAATAATCCTGAAGGTAGAGTTTGGCAGGATGACCGTCTCTCAATTGATAGACTGGCAAATTGGTAATATGAACACTCTAGTAACAAATGCTAGAAAGTGTAAATCGATGAAGGGGACATTAAACTGCATGCTGACCTTATGTTCATAATGTTGCTGCATGAACTAGACAATAAATTTCACAGCAGCATAACCTAGCAGAGACAGAAGAGTTCAACTGCATCAATAATAGAGTGCAAGGTACACACCACTTAAACATCTGTGACAACAGGTACAGTATATATAAATGACATGAGAACAATGACAACTGACAGCACAATAAAAACCTTTCAAGTTGAAATATAACATTACTCTGAAATCTGGACAATGTTTAATTACCACACCAGAAACTTTTTCTTGCATGTCTGTTTTATTTGAATGGCATCTTTGAATGCATATCATGCATGGAGGAATTGGGTGGCCAAGAACTGGGCAGACATCACATCCCAACCTCCTCCAGGCAACTAGCTAGAAAAGGAAAAAAGGAAAAAGAAGAAGGAAACTATGTACAGGAAAGGCCATCATCTGAACATGGACCTCTGAAGCAGGCATATTCAACGCTCGAACCCTATTGTAAAGGATGGCTTTATTCGACGACCGACCGCATACCTTGACACCTACAGGAAGCCACAGCAAACAGTAGCAGCCAAACTGACTTCTCTACTCCTGCACTAACTCAAAACTGACAAGAAGTACCCATCCTCAGCCTCCCCCTCTGCCCGGTGGCGCCAAGCTTGTGCGCGCGGAATGCGCCAGGGAGCAGCTCCTGGAACTTCTCAAGGAACAGGCCCCATGTATCCACACCCATGTCGGCCAGCTTCACAAAGCTTGCGCTTGTTGGGAGCTGTTCATTTGCAGTCCTCCAGTTACCAACTTGGTTGTTTTCAGAGGTTTTCACAGAATCTGCACCCTTGGGAATAGCAGGCACCTGACGCTGGCTTTTGTCCATGAGACTGACGCTGCTCAGTGAGGTTGATAGCTTGGAAATGTTAGGAAGCCACTTATTGACAGGCTTGGGGCAAGCTAACTTTTCTGCATTGCTTTCTTCCTCCTCCTGAATGTCATCTTCCTCTTCTTCAATGGCCTCTTCCAATTTAGACAGCGGGTTTCTGGAGCTTCCCCCCTTAAATTCAAAATGGCAGGCTGGTGGTGTTTTTGGCATTTCATGATCTTCACAGTCAAGTTCAAATTGGGTCACATCTTCATCTGCAGAATCATGTTCTGTGGAACATTCTTCTCGTTCACTTGCTAGCCTCCTTGCCTCCATGCAGACAACCTCTAGCTGACTTGGCTGATCATCCATCCCGTTGAATTCCCTGCTCATCATCTCACCAATCTCCGCAAGGCAAAGACCAAATAATGTGCCTTCTTTCAGAAATATGGTTGAGAGGACTAGCACACGGAGGCACGCTTCCCGGATCATAGGCAGCTCCATACGAAGCATCTCAGCATCTTTCACTGGATCAAGTTTCCCTATGTACTCAAGCTCATCCTCAGAGAATGGGATTGACGCCTGCGGCCAGTGAATCCATTCAAAATATGGATCCTCTAAACACTCTGGCAGGCAGAGACCATGGTCAATAGGAATCAGCTCAGTCAGATTTCCAAATTGATCTGCTCCTGTCACCTTTCTTACCAGAAGATTTCCAGCATGTCTATCAGTGTTGAAGATTCGGATGTCAAGAATACCAATCCTGTGAATAGCAGATACAGGGAAGCTTGAAGTGCCAAGGTCACTAGCATCAAAATCATGAGGAGCGAACTGCTGAAATGAGGCAATCTTGCTGACAGTTCGCGGATCACCCACAGAAGCCTTCTTGTTGGTAGAACCGACGCCTTCATTCACATTAAATACAGGATGTGAAATCTTAACAAGAACTGTCGGGGGGACATTAGCAAAGTTATCATAGTCCAGAAGGTATGCAGCAACCTCTCTAAAACCGGTCTCACCAACTCGAACTGATCTTTTGAGGCCTGGCTGCCCAAGGGCTCTCCCAGTAAAACCTTTTGGATTGTTGGGTGCAAATGGCTCCTCATCATTTGGCTTCACAATGGCAGCATTCTCACCTTTACTGTTCTTGAAATAGTAGGCACCACCAAGCCCACTATTGACAAGTTTTGGATCCACACCGTTTCTTATGGCCCTAGCAACATCCTTAACAAGCTGCTTTGCCTGAATGCAGCGGGTTGGACACACTAAAACTTCAATTGGACCACCCTTATCCTTTTGCTGCTGGAGATCCTTGCTTGTAGGAGACAGGCATGGGCTGGAGGAACTCCGATGCATGAAGGTCTTGGTCAGGAGCAGTGGGGAATCATTTCGGATGCTGCTGAGATCATTCTTGAGGACATGATCACCGAGTGTCAGAGAACTCTCCTCAGTGGGAACATTGAGGGCCACCTGCAGCTTTCTTTTGACTGTGTGTACACTGTCACCACGATCCAGTTGAACAGGCAGTACAAACCCAGTGTCAGTCTGGACAAAAACACGTTTCCATCCAACAGCCTTCCCCTCGCTTCTAGTTTTGCTAGGGTAATCACCGATCAGAGAGCTGCTCAAGGCTGAAACTGCCATCTGGGTCTGGACAGGGTTCTTCAAGTTGCGAGACATGGCAGCCAACAAAGGAATTGATCTCTTGCGCCTTTCAAATTCTGCAGATGACGCTGTGCTAGAGTGCGAGAAAGGTGTCACGGAAGCAATCATCAGGCAACGGGCGCCATCTTCCACGTTAGACAGAAAGCAACAGAAAGCTTCAGTGGTAAGCTGTTACGAAACCCGATGAGCCCAACCTTTGGATAATAAGATCCTGCAAAAACAGAAAAGAGCAATTGGAGGTTATTATCTTTTTCTCAAGTCAGAAACAACCGCTAATAAGCATCAAAACGAGAAATATTAGTTCTTCATTCAACTTCCAAACTACCGATTCTTGCTCTGTAATAAATATGAAATGGAACATAAGTAATTCTCATGGTAAACTCAACCACCCAGTTAATGAATAAACCAAAACACTTCGCATGACTTGAGCTAGCATTTCCATATTTTACAGAAAGATGGTGTACATAAGGAGTGGGCTACCACTTCCCATCTTTGACTACTAGCTTTTTTTAAGCCTCGTACTGAAGATATGATATGTTCGTTGAACATAGATGCATTTTTATTTCAGTTTCATTCAGAGATTCGTGCTGTCCCCCGTTCACTCCCCCATCAATAGCATTTGTCCTTTTCTTACCCAAAATCTCTGTAGACTGATCACTGATGAGACAGGGAAATCTCTTAAACTTTTCATGTGGAAAACAAACCCAAAGCCCACGATTCAGTCCGGAATCCGGGCCAGCAGCTTAATTACCTCTCGATTCGACAATCGTGCAGTTTTCTTCCATGTGTAGCTAACGGCTATTACATTTCATCTCGACAGAGTCAGTAAAAATTCAGATGCAGTTGTCAAAGGCCTTTTTTTATGACAGAAATCTTGGAACTTTCAAGCTGAATCCGAACTAGGGAAGCTGCGCGAGTACAAGCTTCGCTCAGACACAGTAGATCAGCTGCTGCGGGAGCGAGCTACACAATCGTCAGACAATCTAGCGGTTGATGACATGAGCTACGCGTAAGGAAAGACATTAATGAGCCCGGCCCAGCTGAAAGCCTGGAGAATCCTAAAAAAGGAATAATTATTGCTCAAGAAGCTACCAGAACGAAGCCGCGCTCCATTCCTTGGCGACGAAGCACCTTTTTTCCCCCTACCAAAAACGCCGGCCCTTCCGCTCTCTCCACTGAGAAAGAGAGACATCGGGGCGGCGAAGGCCATGGATTCTACCGGCGGAACGAGCACCAACAGGAAGGGGGAAATGAGGCTCTGTCCATACCTGAACCAATGCGGAGACCCAGAAATGGCGGCCCGCCGCCGGCGGGGCCGCAGATCTGGCAGGTGCGCCGCAGCCGCCTCTTCCGTCCGTCGTCCGGCGAGGGACCGGCACCTCCCACTCCCCGGCACAGCACTCCTCCGCCTCCGCCTCCCGGGTTCCGAGTTCTTGCCCCCTTCTTCCCTCGCTCTCTCGTGCGTGAGTGAGCGAGAGCTTGCGAGGGGCTGGGTGTGTGGGGGTGCGACAGGGAGAGGGACAGGGGCGATGTGTAATGGAGGGGTTTAATTTAAAGCCCTGAGCAAACCATGGTTAGGTTAGAGAGGTGCGAGGGGCGCGTGAGCTGGGATTGGCCGGGGCAACGTGTGTGCGTGCGAGGGCCTTCTTCCTCCGGCGACCCTCGACTCTCATCTAATTGGATGGCACGGCCTTGTGCGTTTTTCCGCGGGCCTATGCGCAAATTCCCGGCGAACCATGCAGGGGGGCCGCATGTAATTCGTCCACAAGAAAGAAATTATAACGTCGAAGATGACACGATTGGTATATTGTAAAAAATGGCATGATTCAATAAGAAGTCGAAGATGGTACGACCTAGATGGGCAACGAATGACATAAAGATCATCAACTGGAGCGACAGTCAGAACATTACCATGACCACAATGGGAGTGCGGCCATCGGTCGTAGGTGAAACTTACATGCACGAACATAGCACATGCGTTGGTGGAATATGACTGTGGAAACGCTGCACACCCAAACAATCTTGCACTACCGAATCAGGCACCACCCTGCCGACCAGAGATAGGGGAAGGGGGAGGGGGGGTCCATGGAGGGATCAGTTCAACCTCAAAATATGGAGGGTGGATACCGATGATCGGCGGGGGACAACATAGGTCCATGATGACAAAAAGTAACCGTCCCCGGCCACCCCAAG